CTTAAAATCGCCTGACAGTTGAACATTATGGGAACAGTGTTACCGTAAACGGTATACCTTTATTTCGCCAATCAAGACGATTTAAAGATGATCTTCTTAAGGCTAAATTGGATTTATTTTTAATTAAAGTTGCAACTTTATTCAAAGTAGTAGTAAAAAATACACAAGATGCGCCATAAATCATGAATCTTAATGCGATTTATCAATTAGCTAGTCATAATGGAAATTCAAACTTCAAATTCAGCCAAATGGCAGGCCTGGTGGCGCCGGAGGTGCTGGAGGTGCCGGTGGTGCTGGTAAACCTGGCGCTCCTGGTAGACCTGGGGCGCCTGGTAAACCTGGTGGTGCTGGTAAGCCTCCTGGTGGTGCTAGAGGAGGCATTGGAGGTAAAGGAGGGAATGGTGCTGAAGGGAAACTTGGTAATTTTGGTAATGCTGGTAAATTAGGTAATCGAGGAAGCTTTTTAGGTATTGGAAGCTCTGGGAATGCCGGTAAAGGTGGAAAGTCGGGAACACTGGGAAAGCTAGGATAAGCTGGGAATGAGGGTAAACTTGGCAATTGTGGAAAATTGTAAAAGGGATTGGGTGAAGTCGCTGATGATGACGATATTGCCCCATATTGATTTGATGATGATTGATTTGGTGATGGTATAATCAATGGTGGCAAAGGTATGTACCTTGTCCTTTGTCGAGCTCGAGGTCTTGGTCGACCGGCTGGTGAACCACATGAATTGCAGCCAAATAAACAGGCAAAACGTTTGCTTCTTTCAACACTTTCATCTTTGCTATGAACACCATTATTGTCAATGTTTAGTTTTTGAGTTGATATCTGTATCGATGTTGATGTATCAATGAGTAAAGTTATGAAAATAAATAAACCAAAAATTAGATTGAATTTGACCCAATCAATGAGTTGGAACATTATAACTTATTAAAAAATCATTTGTAAATCAAATATAACATTAAATATTGTAAATCAAACTTTTTATTGTATTACTTGTTGAAAAGTAATATTGTATAACAGCAATCGGTCATAATTTTCATTTCACAATTCATTCTCACTACCTTCAAGATGTATTTTCACCATTAAAAAATATCCGAAGATGATGGTGAACATGGGAAATTCATTGAACTATTGAAGTATATCTATTTGTCATAAATTAAGTTTTACCAATTACATTATTTACATCTTCCATCAACACAAATGTTGACTTAAGTGTTTGATAAAACCCTCTTCCTTATTTAAAACTTGTAAACTTGCTAGATTTTTCAGGTCAATTAGATTCATTAATTTAAATTACTTCAATTGAATTACATAAATAAATAGTGTTACAATTGACAAGATAAATATAAAATTAACAGCGAAAATTAACGTTGCTGAAAAACCGTAAGAAGTAAGATGAAAAAGGATTGACCAGCATTTTTCAAGCAAACGTTTCCATCTTCATTTTCGTTGATTAGGACAATTGGTGCAAGAAAATCTAAATTTATTCACAATTTAAGTTAAACGTTGAACAGCAACCGTAAGTTGACATTTAGAACTACAAAGTAGCAACTAATTAAACAATTTTCCAGTCTTGATCGACTTTTGATATTAAATAAACTCGTGATGTTTACCAGGAAAAAAGACGGCACTGAACCAATAGATTGAATTGAGAAAAGTCGAGTATAAAAGGCAAGTTTAGGTTGAATTGAAAGTATAGTTGATTAGTAAACAGTTGATAAACATTTAATCTTGAAAGACTTCAGTGAATCCCAAAAGTTACAATGAATTTCAAACTTGTCACCTTATTTTCCCTTTTAGTGGTCTTCATTGCCTTCAGTGTTGATGTCGCTCAAGCAACAAAAATGGGAGAAGCAAAAGCCAGAGCTGCAAGAGATTCGGAAACTTCTAAATCATGGTCAGAAAATGGTGTCACGATTAGCTGCCATTACAGAAATGGTGCTCTAATTAGCGAATGTATTGGATCGCAACCCTGTTCAACCTCACCTAAGAAATGTCCACCAAAACAATGAAATTGCAGATGAAGGTGAAGTTTATTAGAGAGTAAACTTGAAAAGTGACTTTTGTCTATTGAAATGAATTAACATGATACTGTAGTCTAATAAATTGAAATTAAAATTTGAATCATCCCTGAGCCTAAAACTTAATTCGGATTATTTTGATTTTTCGCTAAAACTCGAACTCTTTTAATGTTTAAAAAATTGCATGAAACTGTGAGGTAAGTATGTAACTTATAACTTTGAATTGGAAAGTTTAAAATGAAATGTTTGAAAACAATTAATTTTACAATATTTAAAATGGATTCAAATTAAATTGAAGTGTTAGAAAGCATTTGTTGCTATAAAATGTCAATTTTTCAAAACAATTGGTGCTTTCTAAAGACTCATCAATTCAATGGGAATCTATCATAATTATACTTTATTGTTTTGACAATCAATCTAAAAGTTTGGTGTGACTTTTCAATCCCTTTTCAGCATCCACAAGAGCTTCTAATTTGTCAAGTGTGGTCCTCAATTCGGTCAAATTTAAATCGTTTGCAGATCCATTTCTCAGGTCAGCGTTGTCATTAATCCTGTGAATTTCAACCGTCAAATAGTAAGTCCAGGCTCCTACTACAGCACCAAGAAAAGTACCAATTGTGCTTGCTGTTAACCAAAACATGTCTGACCACATATCGCCCAGACCAATCATGAAACCAAATAGACGAGCTGGTAAATCACGAGCAGGATTGATAGCAGCACCTGCATTGGATCCGAAGGCTAGAATGACGGCTATAAGGACAAAAAGTAGACCAAAAGGTGTTGCACTCTTTGAGTTGTGATTATTGGATCCATCAATCAATACCATAATGGCAAACATTAAAATACCAACACAAAGAACTTGATCAAGAATCACAGTTTCATGGTCAACAGGACGAATTCCTGGGTTAGACATGAATAGAGAAGCAGTTTTACTGGGAAAAGTGCCATTAAGTCCACTTCGTGCCACAATGGCTAACCTTTGATTGGCAAAGCTAACCACAGTTGCAGCAAATCCTCCAATAAACTGTCCAGCAAAATAGACTGGAACAGACTTCCAAGGACATTTACGCAAAGTGGCGAGGGCAAACGTGACAACTGGATTCACATGACCAGCTGTTGAAGTCGCAAACAAAATTCATTAATGCTGATTCAAAGTCAAAATTCAAAGATTATTTTTGTACAAAGAAATGCAATTCTACTTCGTTTTTGGGTGAGCATAAAGTTTATACTTGAATCTGAATCAAGAAGATACTATTCATCATAGACTTCAATAGTTACATTGAAAAAGCAAACTAAAAATTAAAATTAATTGTAAATTCGAAACGGAACATTTGTTCGAATGATTAATAGAACTGAAATTGATAAAAAATGAAATCCAATTAACATGTAATGAAGTCTTAAGAATTTTAAAAGTCTGAAAATAGACACTTGATCAATTGAATATGACACATCTAACAAGTGTAAATAGTTGGAATGTAAACAATTAGTTGAACCAGAAATAATCTTGAATAGATAATGAAGCTGAATAGCACATGATTTACCTGAGACTGTGGCTCCAAATACAACTGCAATGTACAAACCAACTCCAGCTGTTGTAGCTATAGCAAAATGATCTGATGGATGGCCAAATGTGTAGGTTGCAACGGCATTATCAATTAGTACCTGTTGAGTGGACACAAAATGTGATTAAAAGTAATGTTGACGCTTAGAGTTGCCTGAAGACTCACTATGAGAATGAATGTTCCTACAAGTTCAATGATAAACTGTTGATACAAGAGGTTTTTTGTTTTAAATTTGCTTAAAAATTGATAAGCAATTTGAGCCATTCTAACAGCAAATATGAATAAAAGAGAGAAAAGAAATGAGTAAAAATGAAATCAGTAATTAATGGTTAATTCAATTTTTGCATACACAGCGTAAACAGACGGATGTAAACTGATTTGCTTTATGATTTACTTTCAATATTACAAATCTTATTTCATTATTTTCAGACTATCAATATTTATCAGTTGCAAGTTGATAAAAAAGGAGCTTCTTTTCATCTATTCACTCTTACCGTCTTTAAATCAAGGATCATCATTGCCTCATCATCATCTTCATTATTCCAATATTCATACCTTTACTAATCAAGAATAATCTCTAATCGATAGATTTAATGCAAAAGATTGCACTTGCATGTTTACAAGCAGACATTTAAAGAAGCGATTCCATCTCATTAGAGCTAAACTTTTTTATCAACTTTTCCAAAACCAAAAGTCCAATATTTGAATTTCAATATTCATGATTGAGGAAGAATTGCAAGCTAAATTGATTCAAATTTTGGATTCAAAAGTTTACTATCTCAGTCTGGTGATTGTCACAATTGAGTCACACCTTTCTTAGTAAACAATCATTGAATCAATTCAAAACATTCACTTGAGTCGGTACTTGAAAGTGAATATTATAATCATAATGTATGATGAAATTTTTTAAAGTGAATTTTGTTGGAAAAAGAATATTTTTTTCGTTGAAAATAAAATTTGGTGAAATTGAATTTATGATATTCTTTGGCTCTATTCAATGACATGCTTTTGTTCATGTTTTAAAATAAAATGAATTCACTTAAGAATGATTTTGTTTACGTTTGAATTGATTACCTTGAGCGCATCTCTTGAAGTTAATCGTTACTTTTAACTCTCTTAACAATGAATGATAAATTATCAAGTGTTACCCGAAATTGTTGATCAATTAATGATCGATTATGAGATAATCATTGAGATTCAACAGTAGATTTACTTTGGAGTGATAATCTGAACACTTTGAAATGTTATCTTTACTAATTGAAATGAAAAGATGTATCGATACAGTTGGACTCAAGTTGAGTAGTATGAGTAATTTACTGAAATATTCATGGATTTGGACTATGAAAAAAGACACTGAATTTTGTATACGATCTTGGATTGAACAAATGCTTGGAAATTGAATAAGTTTGTTTAATTAAACATTTGAAGGTTGACAGAGATTGAAGTGTAAAGTTATAATGTAAACGGGTATTTACCTTTACAGGGTTTATGATCCTGATCCAAGTTTATGCACAATTTTGTAGGAAATTAAAAACACCCAAAAATAAACAAATGTTAAGTTACCTTAAAAGTTTAAACTTGTTCATTTGACTTTGTTTAATTTTCAAAAGTTGCTATTTGATTCATAATTTAAAAATAAATATCAACTTTGCACAAACTCAAACAATGAATGCGTCTTGAGTGCAATGTGTTGGGTTAAATATTGAAGCATCTTAAAATAACATTGTTGGCAATGTCTCAGTCAGTATTTTTGTGGTCGCACAATTAACTGAAATTTGATCAATTGATGCTGCACCCAGATGGTATGGCAAATATTTAACCTAGTTAAAGAAGCAAGCTTTAAATTACCAACAACAACATTTACAAATCATGACATAAGCTCGACTTTTATTAGCCTCAGTTTCGGGCCTCCTCAAGATGCTATCATTTTTATTAAGTTAAGTTGCTGATTGAATGCATCGCCTCGTAGCTAGAAATTGTCAAATTGCTTACAATTGTTAGTAAAGATTTGTTACAAATGATAAAATTTATATCTTTTTCTATCAAGACTTTTGAGGGGTTATAAAAATATACAAGTTTATACTGCTTTTTTCATGAAAGGAGAATACCCTTTAGAATGTCCAGAAAAGGCGATAATAAAACTTTTCAATTGGCTTGATTAGTTTAGACTATTAATATGATGAATCCATTGAAAATGAACTCGTTATTAAAGTAACATTTTCAAGTGACGGAAACTCAACCATGATTGATGGAGTTTGCACATGGCTATTCGACAAGCAAAGGGGAAAAACGAATGAAAATATCGACAATTGCACATATAACTAGCTTTTAGTATTTTGTGAATTTTTTTAAATCAACATTCAGATTATGTAATAAAAATATTTTAAAATAAAATTAGTTTATCCGAGGGGTTCTTTAAATAAAAATCAACAAAAAATGGAAAAAAGTTTTCTAAAAGAAATTAATTGTAGCTGAGTTTAAATAGCCAGATCATTGATAATCGAAAAAAATAACAATCTAATCAAAATTGATGTACAAATCCTCTGAATAGAGCAAATTGTAAGTCCGTGTATAGGCTGCGAGTTGTATATTTTTGATCAATTTCAATGTGAATTGCATTGAATGATGCAAACAACCCCAATCTAGATATGAGGCTCTCATCATCGCTCTAATGTCTCTACAATTTTGCCATAATACAGTTCATAAACTGAGTGAATTTTCATTGTTGAATGCTTTGTATGATACAAGATCTGTTTAACATGTGATGATAAGTCCACTCTAAAAAATCCATTATAAACTATCCTATAACAACTTTTTGTTAGTAGCAAATATCAAAAACACTGATCTACCTGAAAAATATTATGTGCTAACAAATGTGCTTGCAAGACCATACACATCGGCATATAATCGACTTAAGACTAAAAACAAAAAATAAAAAAGAGACAGCAGCGTATTTAATAATTCAGTTTTTTATTCAGGTAAGATTCAAGCATGACAAACACAGGTTTGACCAGAAGAATTGACATAACGATTAACAAATGATTTTCCTGCTGAACCTGAACTTGATGCTGCTGATCCTGCACCTGAAGATGCTGATGAACCTGAAGCTGCTGCTGCTCCTGATGAAGCTGCTGCTGATGATCCTGAACCTGATCCTGATGATGCTGAGTTAGGTGAGTTACTGGTTGATGTTGTTGTAGTTGTTGTTGGTCCTGATGATGAATCTGAAGCTGC